TAAGAAAACTCGAAGAGATAACAGGGACATGTTTCTCTTCAACTACGGATCTTGAATAAATGTTTATGAAGGTCTTTAATGACCTTTCGGGATGGACGAGGAGAGGCGGAGGTGACGCTTGAAACAAGCGAAACATTTTCCTTGAATGGGGTATTAAAAAATAACTCTACGACTTGTGTTTTATTGGATATTATTATTATAAGCACTTTTTTCGTGGTTTGGTTCTATAAATATGTCGTAAAGTAATTTTTAATGGACTATAAAGTGATAAAGTCGACAAGAATTTTGTAAATATTTCCTTTCCTCGTGAATATCATCGTTCATTGATTTAATATGGTTGCAATTTTATTAATACAAGGTAGTTTAAAATTATACAGGGTCAGACAAACCTCTAAATTTAAATTTATTTTCAGATATTTTTCAATTTTTCAAATGACCGCAAGTAAAATAACTATCTTTTCAAATTTACTTTTTGATTATATTGATGAATATTAATGAATATTTGAAAAAACTTCCCTGGAAAATTTTGGAAAGTAAAATTAATTTTTGAATTACAGAATAAATCTTTGGTCTATTGGCTTTATAAATTTGTAATTTTTTATATTCCAACGTTAAATAAAAAAAAAATATACATTTTTTTTTTCAGAATATTTTTCTATATTTGTAATTTTTTATATATCTTAAGGTATTAGAAATAACATTTAACACTCCTGAAATAAATTACATCTTCCTCGACAAAAACAATATACAATAAACAACCAAGCAAAATGTTCAGGTAGTTGCCCAAATATTTAGTTTTGCATTCAGTGATTTATTTCCAACACGCCCTGTACATCAATGCCATAAAGAAAAAAGTGACACGAATGAGTATCTACTGAGTGTCGAATTCTTCTCGGAATACCCGTAGAGCGCCCCCCTGTAGGAAGGAAGTGCCCCTAGGGTTAGACCTTCTGCCCAAAATAAGCCATAAAATATTTAAAACGTCAATGCCTGTGGACGATTTTTATACATATAAGTAGATAGACGACCGAACTGAAATTTGGGTTTAGGCTGTGCATTTATTACCTCTTTTTTTGGATATTATTCATTTTAGAGTCAATAGATCAACCCACAGACATGGAAAAGGTGAAATATTTGAAAAAAATATGGTAAAATACATAAAAATGAAGTATGTTCAGGATTAATTTCAAATAAATATTCTGCAGAAGAGGTTTATATGACTAGGAATTAAGAACTAAAATAAGAAAGTTATAAGAAGAAAAATATATTAACATTCAGTCAGCCGTAAGACCTGCAAAGTTTAGAGAAAGATATACCGAGGATTTTTAATGAAATAATTTATACTTCAAGTCGGCATTGTACTATGCACCGTGTGGGGACATTTGCATAGTTTTTTCAGGTACATTTTGATACGGAAAAGTTGCACTCAAGATGGGATGGTACCAAAACACCCCAAGGCATCGGAGAGTTGCGCACGCATAATCGTACGATAGATACTGATAGATAGATAGGATAACGTCATCAGTAGTATTGGCAAAGGAAATTTTAGTAGGTGATAAGCGAACAATAACGGTTCTCGTAGAACGTTTTTCAAAATCTGTAACGGTTTTAATCGAGCGTTAAGCCTGTAGTATAGGTTTTGTTCGTCCATAAAGTATTTCTTTAGCTATATTGGCTTAAAATAAAACTTATTCGACTAGTCAAAAGTTTTCATACATTCAGCTTCCAACCACATTTACACAACATACATTCATATTATCCAGTTATCAACAGTTTGACATTATAGGGATTGTATACTGAATGTAATATTTTTAGTAGATTTAAAATATGTTCAACATGAGTTTACCTATGCCTATTACCTAAACTCATCTTATGATACCATCCTTGTGTAAATTGTAATATTTATACTAAAATTTACCTTTAATATGCCTCCTTGTTGTGGTAAATGTTCACGATGATCTTTACAAACAGCACATTTCGTTAACTGGGACATGATGTAATTGTCGTGGATATTCTTAATAATTTTCACAAGTACTAAACAACAATTTATACTCGTTAAATCAGTTTATTAGATTATATTCGTTGGATACCGAATTTTAGAATAAGTGGGGTTATATTAATAGTTGTGACTGCTAGACAGCTGTCAGATCATAGATAAGTACTACAGAGAATACTTACAGCTTGGTAAAGTCGTCCGCAGTTTATAAGGTGCATTTTGACGTTTCGTTTGTTTAAGATTTCTATTGGGTATACAGGGATACCAGCATGGAGACTGCTAGTTTTATTTTCGCAGTAGCGAAAGCTCATTGGTGGCGCAGTGGTGCCACTCGTGAACTGTACTTGTCCGAGAGTGATAATTGGCTGAAACAGTTTTATTTACGGCGATTCTGCACGATCGAAGTTTTGTCTTCAAGTTGGAGAAAAACAAAACTACGGTGGCCTTTCTAAGAAAAAGTCGTATTGGTGGCTTGAGTTGAAAATTCGTCAAGAGATGCTTTTCTAGTTTTTGTGATTTTATGGAATCATCCCATGCCGAAGAGTGTTAGAAAAGTAGCTCAATATTTTAAGAAGCATTAATGGTAAAGTTAAATATGGTTATCGTGGAGTTAAGCCCGTTATTTTTGCAATTGTAAAGTGCCGGCTTCTTAATTAGTGTTTGAGGACAATTGAATTTGAAGTCCAGCCCTTGGGTAGATATAGGAGCAGTCTCATATTGAAGGCCGCTCGTAGTTCAGACCGTATATTGAAGGGTACACTGGTTTTGAGAAGGTTTTAGCAGATTTCTCTGCGTATTTGATTGAAGTTTTACCCTCTAGGATAAGAGGTAGGTTTTATTATTTTTTTATAGTGTAGTTTATCCTGCAGAAATTTGGTATACATTCATTGTTAATAATAGACATTCTTTCAGACAGTAAATTTGTGTATTGAATTTTGCTTATTAATTTTAATTGTGTACTTTTGTTGAATTGCTTAAATAGTCCTTGCTCTGGCAGGCACTAACTTCAACTCTCTAGGTGGCTTAAGATTTCACCCATACTTTTTATTGTCTTTAATTACGAAAAAACTGGTTGGGATCAAATTAAGTTACACCAATCTGAATAGGGAAACATTTTAGGGTTTTTCGACCCATTGTTTGTACCCGGTGGTTGGACCCACTGTTTGAAACCAGCGTTTCGGTTTGATATTGAAGTTACTGTTTGGTATCAATATTTCGACTGGGAATTGATGTTACTGCTTAGGACAGTGATTTTTCCTACTACTGAAGATTAGTTTCTTTGGGGTTTGGAACGCCTCGTCCACATTGCTGTTACTACAGAGTTACAGAGATTTGGCATCGTACGACTACAGTGCCACAGGCGGCATCATTTGCCTGTCGACATCACGGACTAGGAGATAAGTGAAACTAGATTTTATTTTTATTATTTTGGGGTATGTTTTTGGGTTAACATTTGGCATACGACTGATACGTAGATGTATATTTCATTATCTTATAAGACATTAAATTGATATTATTAGGTATATTTCATGCTAGTTCATGTGCTACTATAGCATAGTTCATATAATATAGGGATTAGGTATTTTACCTTGAGATGATGTTTTTTTATTAAATTAAAGTTATTGATAGTATTATTTTAGATTATAAGTCTCTGGGTATTTAAATCTGTTTATACAGAACCTAATGGATTTTTATGACTAGATGCGGTTAACATTTCTTTTGATCGCGCCTGACGTGTCTTTCGCCGTGGATCCAACGCTAATGACCGTGAGGTATTAACAGATCATTTTACTAGAGTTCATTAAACCAACCCTGTTTAGTTTTTGTACACTGCTAAGGCATTACATATATTGTTTAAGAATTTTGGAGTTATTACAGGCCTACATATAAATATGTAAGTAGGACAGTGTATTAATTTTTAATACGAATTACATTATTGGAGGGCCATTATTATTAATACACCATGCCACTGGAAACTTGCAAATACTCAAACTGGCACGGCTCTGTCTCTAATAAGACTAAAAGTTTCCGTATTTTCCTCACCTTCAAACGTTGCCGCTAGGAAGCAGCTCCAATCAGTGCCTTGTCAAAAAAAAAATCCTATGCATTACCGCAAAAAGTAGAAATTTTAGGAATATTAAGGCAGATTTATTATCGGTCGACTCTTGTAGTTAGATTTGTAAAAAATTATAAATTTAAGTTTTTTTTATCCCAGAAATATAGCTTAAAAGACATATATGCTCCGTGGCAGATTTTCCTTCCGATACGGGGTATATATGTCCAGAATACATAAGAACATATTTTCAATTATTTTTTTTTTTTTCAGAATAAACGTACTTTAACTTAATTCATTTGTTTGTGATTTCATATGCAGATAGGTTATTGAAATATGCAGCAGAAACTCTTATAAAAGTAGCTAAAACATGTTATAAAAAAGTAAGTAATATTTATTTCAAAACTAACAGTTTTCTCTTTAATAAAATAAAAATGAGAAACAAAAAATAAAATTTTAAAACAAAAATACCTAATATACATAAAAATGTTATTTTATATATTTTGATGTGCTTTGTTAAAACAAATAAGGCAGGATTACCAATACAGTCTGCACAGTAAGTAAACACTTTTTTAACTTTGTTGTCAGCTTGATGACTGGATATCGTTTCTCTTAGAATTTTGCAGCATCCTACACATTTTTTCTTTTTCGATTATCCGGACTAAATTCTGTTAAGGTATGAACTCGTTTTGGAGTGCGTGGCCGAGGAGTTTCCAAATTCTCTGCTGCTAGGACTTTGCAAATACTGACCCGAAAGTACGGTATTGAAATTCGCCTTTCCTGATTTTTACTATTATAAAGAAGCCAAGCATTTTTCAATGCAGACCCAAACAGAATTTCGGTGACCACTTTCCTATACCACTTCAATCCTTTTCATAATGGACTGTGATATGATGTCATCTGGTCGCTAAAATAATTATTTTTTTACGTCTAAGAAATGGAATAATTTACAACATACGTAAAATCGACTCCTTTCTTAGCTTTATTATAATCGAATACAGCTTGCGGCTTTCTAACTGGATTTCCGCTTCTGCCTTCCTTTTCGTTGTCGACGAGAGTAGCTGTATGGTTTGGTGCAGTGGTCAACATATTTACAGGTCTATTCCTTCGATAGGTACCACAATTGTAAGTATTTTTTTGCAATCAGTTATTAACAACATTTATGGTCGTATAAATTTTACAAAGACATCTTGGAAGGTATCAAAAAACAATCATCTACCAATGACAATTACATGTCAACTTAAAAGCATAAAATATTTTGAAATTTGTAGAAAAAAAATTGTCCTCAAGAATTTAAACATTTTCTACACAAAGAATCTGATAAATGAAATTAAAAAGTACAAAAGAAAATAAAGGGAACAATTCTTGGATTAATAATTATTGAAAATCATTATAATTAGATATTGCCGGTATCAGACCAGTCCTTCCTTCTATATACATTTTAGATACAAATTCTTTTATTTTTCAAATAAATATGTTTATTAAGTTAGCTTTACTCGAGGTGGTCAAGCGAATAATGGGAAACCACCCTCGAACGCAAGGACAACTATTCCCTATTTGAAAAGCTTACCAGGGGGGTGTAGAGTGGCTTCAACCCCTCGCGGCGTAATTTATGACATTTTGTAACTGACTACCGCATTGTATAACTCACTGCCCACAATACACTTTGTTACGGGCTATCTACAGATGTATCTCTTTATCTTCCGATGTAAATTTAGTGTTTAGACCGTTTAGCTTTTATTAAATATTTCTTGCGGGTCAAATATGTCCCATTTTGTCACCCGCTGCGCGGATTCTTCAAAAGGAAGAGGCCACGTTCTTGCGAGAAGTGATCGATATGAGTTTTTTTTTCTTCGACAATAATACATTCACATATATTAAAGATTTCCGAGCAGTGACAAATTTTTTTATTATATAACAGTTCAAAGGCCGTGAATACCCACGTTTTGATATCTTTATCCATCAATTTTTAATTTTTTACAAGATCCATTAAATATGCTTACGTATACCTTCAAAATTTTCCCGAATCTGCTTATGTCAACAATTTTATAATAATTTTTAAAATAACTAATATATTTTTTTTAGGGGGGAGGGGTGGATCAGTAGTGTTTGTGAAATGTTACGGTTTAAAGAAAATGCAACATTCTTAATTTTTTTATTCAGTTTTAGCAGAGTTATACATAATTTTATAAACAAATCAAACAACAAATAAACCAATAATTATTACAAATTAATAACGGGTATTTCCCCCACGAGCGCGAATAATTGCCTCAATGCGTCGTGACATACCCTCTATTAGATATCGAATCTCCATCTGGTCAATCTGATCCCATTCTTGGACAAAAGCATCTCTCAAAAAATGTAAATTACTTGGAGAAGAAACTCGGTTATGAACTCGTTTGCCCATCATGTCCCAGATATGCTCAGTTGGATTGAGGTCTGGGCTACGTGATGGACAGTTCATCTTTTGAATTTCTGTTTCGTCCAAATATTGAGATACAATCCTCGCAATATGTGGTCGAGCGTTGTCATGCATAAACATAAATTCGTTTCCTATAAACGGTGCAAATGGAATTACATGTGGATCTAGCAAATCAAGAATATATCGGTTAGCTGTCATTGCTCCGCCGCCAACAATGACTAAATCAGTACCAGCTTCCATGCTTATGCCGCTCCAAACCATTACCAATCCTCCTCCATAACTGAGTCTTGTGCAAAAATTTGCTTGGTCAAACCTCTCGCCTCTTCTTCGGTATATTCTTTCATGGCCATCAGGAGAACGTAAACAAAACCTTGACTCGTCAGAAAATAAAATCTTACTCCAATCAACGACATTCCAATGTTGATGCTCCCTGGCAACTCCGGACCAGTTGCAGGTCTTCTGGAGCGTAATGTATGTTCTCGTAATCGTCTTCGAATCGTTATTTCGTTAACAGCTAAACGATTTCTAACCATGAGAACAGTAGTATTTCTTTTTCGCAAAACATTTAATGTTACAAAACGATCATTTCGAACATTTGTAGAACGTCGTCTGCCAGATCCCCTTCATCTCGAAAAACTACCAGTTTCATTGAAACGTTGTACAGCTCTCTCTGGACGCCCAGAATTCTATATAGAAGCATAATACTGAGACCTACCGTCTTGTACCAGAGCAACTGTTCGTGCTGCATCAGTAGGCGTTAAAACCATGATGTTATGCTGATAATGAATATTTGTAAAGCTGATAATTAAACTGCAATTGCCAAGTAACGAATATTTGACAGTTATCATATTTCACAAACAAATTAAAATATCGGGGTAAATAAAAAATAAAGTGTTGGAAACAAATCAGTCTTCTTGATAAAGTTAATTGTGTGCAGATCTACTAGCAGAAATAACCTACAGGTTGTGTCAAAAGTAGAGGAAAAAATTGTGTTCTCTTCTCCCCTGTATATGCGGCGAGTACTACCTAAATTACTTTTAGTTGTCCGAATAATAATCTTGAAACTACAGTATTTTATCTAAAAGTTGCTAAAAACTTCAAATAAATCAGCCTCCGCATTTGAAAATTAGAGCATTTTTAAATAAATCATTATTTTGAATGAATCGAATTTTAAGTCGGTGAGTGTATTATATTGCAACTATAACTTTCGAATTTGTTTATCTATAATCTTTTCCAACCTTTTAAGAAAGTGTGCACAAAATACTAATAGGTGGAAGATCTGTAAACTCTGTAATATATCTGTAATATATTTTTGAACTTTATTTAATCTACTCCATAGATGGACAAAAGTAATAGTTTGTATACCTCTAATTCGTTTACCATCTCGAATGAGAATGGGGAAATCGAGTTATTTAGGTATTTTGAAAAATAATTTAAAAATCATTATTTACATTACAATCACAGATTGAAGTTAAAATGAAGTACCTAGTCATTGATAGTATCAGGTGAATATAAGTGACTAGGTAATTCGATAATTTGTTCTACATTAAAACTTAAGTTTAACCCCTTGCTATATATTACGTTTGTTATTCAACTGAAACTCAATATAAACTCTTTTCCCTCTTTAAATAGGATTATTAACTTCGTTTATAAGATCTTGATAGTATTATAATATAGTAATAGGCGTCCATTATAAAAATTTATGAGAAAAAAATTGAACCGTAGCTCATCACAATTTGGTCCTGGAGTGAAACAGTTCGGAGATCCAAATAAATATTAATAACAACCGCGAGTGAAGTAGACAATACATGACACGATGCCTTTCCCCCCTAAAGTTCCAACATAAAAACATTCAACATAATATTAACCGAATAGAATGTACCTGGCGCGCGTGTGGGTCGATCCTCCTTCTTCGACTTGCAGCGAGACTCATTTATAAAACCACTTGTCCGCACAATTAAAATATATAATCGTATTTCGACAATTTATATTATTGATGAACGATAAACGACCCAGCGCGATCATTTATCTTGTTTGTTGTGAACACAGATCGCCAAACTGAATAAGAATACTATCGCATATCTGTATTTATGTCTTCTTCTGCTTCAGAATTCTTCATATGCACCACCTGCGAGGTTGCGCTTGAATTAAATTAAAATGGGGATCTTTTTGTATGCAAACTTGGTATTGATTCTTACTGGTCATTATTGATCCTTTCTGAATAAAATAAAAATCAGTACTAAAAGAAACACAGGGATAAATAACAAAATATAATTACAAAAAAATAATACCTCGGGCGCGGTATCGGCACCCCTGGTATACAGAAAGTAAATTCTTAGTAAAATTAAATTTAATTAAATACAGCGGTTAACCAATGCAAGCAAAATAATTAAACGGTATTTAATGATTCTCTCTGTATAAAGAAAAAAAAAATAAATTTTAAATAAATTAAAATATTCTACAAAATAAAGTAAAGTTTAAGTAAATAACAAGGTTCAATAATTCAGGAAATAATTATGATCCCTCCTGTATACAAAAAATAAATTTACCAATAAGTAGAATTAATTTTTCCAATAAATAAAATTAATTTAACACAGCAGGTGAATTATAAAGAACTAATAAAAAAACTATCTCGGAAAACTACAGTTTTTTAAATAAATGAATTTAACTGATTATGATAAATTAAAATAAAATATAACGGTTCACTACTACAGGAAAGTAACCAATCAGAAAATTATGATCCCCCCTGTATACAAACAATTAAATTATCCCTCCTGTATACAAAAAATAAATTTACCAATAAGTAGAATTAATTTTTCCAATAAATAAAATTAATTTAACACAGCAGGCGAATTATAAAGAACTAATAAAAAACTATCTCGGAAAACCACAGTTCTTTAAATAAATGAATTTAACTGACTATATTAAATAAAATTAAATTATATACAACAAGAAAGTAACCAATCCGAAAATTATGATCCTCCCTGTAGAGAAAAAATAAATTTTTCACTAAATAAAATTAGTTAAATAAAACAGAGGATTTATAAAGAGACTAATACAGAAAACTTCAGCGCTCCCTGTATTCGGAAAATAAATTTCTCAATAATTAAAATTAATGAAATAAAACTGTAATGGTAATGAAACGGAAAATGATCAAAATAGAATTTTCAGGGCTTCTATGTGTAGAAAAATAACCTTTTTCTAAACCCACATGGATATTAGCTTATCTACGCACAGATTACAAAACGAAAAAGTATGCTATTGCCTTCAACTGAACGAATATATTTCATATCCATTCTAGGTAGTAAGAACACTGCAAAAAAATTAAATCCACCAATCACCGTCCATATTTTGATCAACCGACTGCTATTATTTTTAAAATTTTAAATGTCACAATTCTGTCAAACTAATTGTCAGTATATTTTTTAGTGATTGAGATTAAACATATATTAAAATGGGTTATTCTTGTGTAGAATCGATAAATAATAGCATTTCTGTTTTTATTTCGTCTATTATTATAAATAATTTGTTAATTTAAATAAAACTATATGAAGTTAATTTAATTACGAATATTAAAGCAACAAAAATAAAAGGGTAGGTGGTCCTGTAGTCAGCGTTCTGGCCTTACACGCAGAAGACTGGAGTTCGATTCTCGGATGGGGAAAAA